TTTTTTTTTTTTTTTTTTTTTTTTTTTTCCAAAAAAAGGGAAAAAAATAAAATAATTTTAAAAAAAAAAAAAGAAAAAAAAAAAAAAAAAAAAAAAAAAAAGGTCTGTTTTAAGATCAAGTTTTAAAGACTGACTGGCCTTAACCTGGATACAAAAAAGTGCAGCACACAGCAGCTTGAATACAAAGAGAAGGTGGCAATTTACATACTTCTCATAAACTCGTACTGATGCTGGAGACCTATCATCATCATCATAAAACCTCTGGGTGTTTAGTGCTTCAATCCCGTGGAGAATATATTCAATCTGTCAAGCAGGAGTAAAGAGAAAAAAAAAAAAAACTTTTCAGCTCACTGTATTGACTGTCACCTGCAGATGGTCATGAGCACAGTGCATTAACAGCAAATGTTTCAAAGTAAAAGCTACAAGAAAATTAGTTAAAAACACAGACGAAAGAGAAATAGAAACTCAAGGGATAGCATTTTTCAAAACACACACATTTTTTTTTTTTTTTATAATACAACAGCAATTGGTTCCAGCTTAACTCAGGCCAAAAGCGTTCAGACTCTCCCAGGTCTCCTTTTGTCTGTGCATGAAAAGCTCAGAACAACAGCGTTGTTGACAGAGCGGGGTAAAGTGATGCGCCTGCTGGTCTGCCACCTGTGGGGCAACAGGATGGGAGCTAACCTGATGGATGGGGGGAGACTCTTCCCGCTGTGTGTCATATTTCAGCGGCTCATCTTATTCCAAGTGAAATGCCGCTCAGCAATAACATCCCCGGGGCGAAGGACGGCCATATGCAACGCTGAGCCGGAGACAAAAGGGTGTTTGATAAGCGAGACCCAGTACTATAAACAGTTTCTTGTTACGTCTGCCTCAATCAAATATACAGTTGCCTTGCAGAAGATTTATTACCTCGATAAAAAAAAAAAAAAAGTTCACGTTTCATGTTGCAACAAGAAACCAGAGTATTTTATTCAGATTATATGCTATAGACCAAAACAAAGTAGGTTATGATTCTGTGAAGGTGGATCATAAATGGTTTTCTAAATTTTGAACCCAAAAAAAAAAAAAAAAAAATATGAAAAGAGTGGTAAGCATATGCATTTGGCCCCTTTCGCCCTAATATAAAATCAATTCCAATTAGCTGCCTTCAAAGGTCATGTTATTAGAAAAGTGATCTTGCATCTGAAGGTCTCAGAGTTTCTGTCAGAAAACATTAGTGAAGATCTAGACGGTCAAGAAACAGACTGGACAGGTCAGGGATAAAGATGTGGAGAAACCTACAGCAGGCTTTAAATTAAATGAGTAAAGGTAAAGGTAATTTTATTTATATAGCACATTTTCAGCAACAAGGCAATACAAATGAGTATCTCCAAACTTGTGTGCCAAAATGTGGCAGACCAGAGCAAGGAAAAAAATAATTAGAATGATTTTCTTCATTCAAGAGGTCTGTGATACCACTGGATGAGCTGCAGAGATCCACAGCTCAGTGAGCAAAATGCTAACACTCTGGACCCACCATGAAACATGGTGGTGGCAGCATTATGCTGTGGGGATGGTTTGCTGCAGAGAATCTGAATGGACAAGAAGATAGATGGGAAGAAAATGGAAATCTTCGGGGCAAATTGGAGGCCCTGCAGGAGGTTCATTCTCTCTTCATACATACCCCCCCAAATAAGCTGCAGGAAAATATTTACCCGATGGGGGCTGAATAGATGCTAACGGCACAATCTTCCGATTATTTGTAAGGATGTCATAAAATCCTGCTTCCTTTTTCAACTAAATCACAACAGCACAGCTTCCTGTTTGTCAAACACCTTAAAAATCCCATCAAAACATACTGAGATTTGTGGCTGTTAAGACAAATGTCAAAAGGTTCAAGAGGTTCTAATACTTTTGCAACGCATTTGATTAAATCAATGGAAAACTTTTTTTTTTTTAAAAAAAAGGACAACTTAAACATGACCATACACCACTCTCTAAAAACACTTGTCTCAAAAGACATATGCTTCCTCAAGAATATTTTAGGGATACTTGAGTGAATCGTGCCTCTGGCGTGGGACCATTCCAGAAGAAGGAACAAAAGTCAGACGGCTTTTTCTGGCTCCATACAAAGGAGCACTGCTTACATAAATTGCCCACACACTGAGGATAAATAAGCCTGCCTGGCTTAATATTACCAGCCCCCTCTTGGTTCAGCTCGAGACTGTATGCTAGAATCATCCGAGTTATCCATCTTCTCTACTTCACTTCTTTATTCACTCCACTTACTCCGTCTTATTAGGACGCAGCAGGCAGACTAATGCACGTCTTCTAGTAGACCTCTGATAGCTTCTAAGCGCAAAGGTTTATTTTTATCAGAGTGGAAAACTCCGTGCAAGAACTCTGCAATGCCGGGAGGATTAATTAAAACATGGAACACAAGACTGGCGCTCATATATGTGCAGAGCAGTGAAAGAGATCGGCGGACAAAACAGAAAGATAGTGCCGACGAAAGCACTGACACGGCAAAAGGAGATTGAGGAACTGTCTGACAAAGAAGTGATCAAAAAAGGCTGCTGGGAACTGGTGTTTTTCTTGGTCAGGCATGACACCGTGGTCTGTCTGCAGACCTCGTCACGGTGGCTCATGTGATGCAAACACATTTTGATATGTGTGTGTGTGTGTGTGTGTGTGTTTGGCGATGCTGGCAGCTCTGTGGGTCATTGACCCAGAACGAGGAGCAATCATTTTCCATGCCTGTTTATAGTGTAAACATTCTACACACAGGTTATTCCATGTCAGCCTTTGTAATTCCTCTCAGTTCCTAAAGCATATTCCTACAGGACAAAATGTGATCCCTCATTAGTTCAGTCAAAACTTTTTTTTTTTTTTTTTCAGGACTTCTGCAATGCTAGCAGCTCAGGTGAGAGAATCTGCTGACAGGGCAACTATTGGTTAAGATCCCAAAAGATGAAATGCGGTTAAATCAAAAATACTTTTGTTTATTTTCCTCAAGGAAATTAACTTAAATTAAATTGCTGGTGGACGGGGTGATGGATGGAGTTAAATTCAAGATAATTCTGGAAGAAAACCTCTTAGATCGGTTGTAAAAAAAAAAAAAAAATGGACGTTGGGAGAGAAAGCTGGTAGAGAAATACACCAGAAGACTTTTATGACATAGATATGTCCTTCTTTGTCACATAAAATCTATCCAAGATTCGTGATTGCAAATGTGGAAAATTTCAAGATAGTAATACCAAGGCGCTGCCTGGTAAAGCAAAGCACGTCCAGCAACAGAAACAGTAAAGTTCAGAGTTTAGATCTGTTCAGCCAAAAGTAATTAAAACCGACAGTTTCTGTGACTTATATAATACAGCTGCAGTTAGAAAGAGGAGTGAGTTAAAAAAAAAAAGAGTTAGGAGTCTTTATACGAATACTTGAACATACCCAGTGTGTCTGCTTCATTTGTCGGGTCGCAGTATTTGAGCTGGGTCTGACTTCCTCTCAACAGTTAAGACGGAAACACCCGCACTCTAAAAGGCGTGCAAAAATGTAGAGTTGGTTCAGTAAGACACTTCAAAATAAGATAACTTAAAAGAAACAACAGTGGGAATGAAGGGGAAGAAAAACTACAATTAGTCTCGTCGAGGATAAGCTGAAGCTGTAGTGGATTTTTCAGAGATTTTCCTGCGCGAAGGAAGAGTCTGGAAAAATGGGACAACTGTTCCCTCGCACGACAAGACGCTTTCTACCGCGTTGTGTAAATCTGTGTGTGCGTGTCGTTCCGAGTGAGCGAATGCCTTCATAGTTGCAGACTCTGCCGGCAGAGTTTATCAATGAAATGAGTCCGGCCGGCTACAAAGCCCTTTCTTTTTCTGTTTTCATAACACGGCCATTAGCAGCACGGGTCAGCTGATTGAGTCAGACAACAAGACCCGCAAGGAACCTCCCTAATAACTAAACCAGCACGATGTGTTAGTGTCAGGCGTGGCGCTGTTGAAGGTGCAACTTCAACAGGCGATGCATGTACGGTGAAACATGCTGCACCTGCAGGACCAATTAGATCCTAAAACTGAAGGATCGAGCTTTCAGAAACAACATCTACTAGTCATCTTATTTTCATCTAGTTATTCGATGGTGTCTTAAAGGAAGAAAAAAAAAATATTCTATTCATTTAAGCAGACTCAGTCGGAGTGTAAAGAGCATATTTAACAAAAAAGAAGAGAAGTTGTTACAAATGAAATGAAAGGGACTGCAGATAATTCATTAAATAAGTATGTACATGCCTTAAGCTCCAAGATTAGCACCCTATGAAAAGGAACCTAGAGCCTCAGATAAGGGCAATGGTTTGTATAAAAAATATCCCTTTTGGAAGAATTTGCATGACTAAAGCAAAAACTAGAAATTGTCTTAATGGACCACTCAAAAGTACAAATGTGTGGCGTTGTATCTGTATGGAGACTGTGCGTCAAAAGCACTGTATGGACAGTGAGGTAACAGTGTAAATCAATCACAAAACTGCAAACACACACTCGCAGAAAACTGCTCTCTCTACTTGAAGGTGCCCAGGAACTTGCTCCCCTTAAATCAACTTAGCTGCAAGTAAATTAATGAGTTCTATAGAAGGATATCAATTCTACACTTGCCTTCTTAGTAACTTGGTTGAGACACAGCATTTTTTTTAAGGTTTGATTGCATTCGAGAGAGGCTAGAGTAAATACTAAGGTATCTTCTTCATAAAGAGATACATATGAGACTACCATACTAGTGGGATCGCAGGGAGATCGTCGTGTAGTGGATCAGTTGCCATGATAACAATTGTGTGGGAGCGCCGCACCACGATGAAGACTGGGGGTTTGAGATCTGGCAGTGAGGTGCGTCCATGATCACTCAAGGCCGGAGTTGGAGCCATCTCCCCAGCCTCGTGTTTCCTGGAGACCGCGTCACCTCACGTCCTCTTCCGGGAAACCTCCGCGTCCTGGCATTCGACGGCGGACAGAGCTATGAGCATCTGGGCGGCATAGTAGGTGGCCATGATGATGGCTCGGGAGTGGGGCACGGGGAAGCAGAACTTGTTGACGGCGATGGTGAGGTCGGAGACCATGAAGAGCATGGCGCCCAGGCAGGCCGACAGCTTGGTCCAGGTCCAGAGGTCGTTGGTGAGCTGCAGGCCCGCGATGGCTCTCCAACCCATGAAGCCAATCAGAGCGATGTAGACGGCCACCAGGTAGGTGAAGGGTCCGGACAGGTAGGGGTACAGCAGGAGGTAGCACAGGGCGGACACCGCAGTGATCACCAGGCCAGCGCGCACGTTTATTGGCTTCATCCCAAAGGCGGATGAATAAAGGATGTGGGTGATGGCGAACATGAGAAGACCTGCAAGAAGAAGAAGCACTTTCAACAGGATAGAAAATTGCAGTTTTGATTGACTCAGAAACAGTCTGAGCAGAAATGGCTGGGGGGCGGGAGGTTGTGTGCTTTTTACAAACACTATATTTTATAAAATGTTGCTGTTGAAATCCATATGTGATCACACAGTTTTGACTTCATTGCCAGTGTATATTTGCTACAAAAAAAAAAATCACAGCTGGATTGTATCCTTTAATCATGCAATTGAATGACTCACTTTACTGGGTACACAGGAAAATGTAATAAATAAACCCAGATGTAGTGACTTTTTTCTTTTTGATTGGTAACCAAACAGAAAATTTGAACTTGGCCAGATTCTGAAATGTATGGATGCTTTAATTTCTTTCACTTCTCCATTAACGCTGAGTTGATTACTTGTGGGCTGGAAACAAAAGTGGACCACCACCACTCACTAACACTGCTAGATCTCGGTAGAAATATTTTGCTGTTCCCAATGTGGCTTATTTTTCCTCCTAGCAATCCTTAAAGCAGTTTCCACGACTTGTACTGTCAAACTGAGATTTTAATCGTCAAGACAAAAATGCGGCAAACCTGTAAGACCAGCCGTACGGTTGTAGGTATGTGTGTCTGTTAATATTGCAGACAACCTTCATTTTCAGTGTCACGAGTCCGGGTCTTCTTATATACACTCATTATCTCGCTTAACTTGTTTTTCTACTGGACTTGGGTCTGATGACTGTGATCTGTATCTCAACTGGTCAAAGCACATATTTCCAGTAAAGGTTCCAATGGAGTTTAGCCAAGTCCAAACATCTTAATGTTTGTGATGATGGGCTAATTTTGAAACTGGTTTTCATATATATGTAGACATATAGTCTTGTTGACGCCAAGATCTCACATTTTCAGGAGGTTTTCCAAAAGTGATTTTTTTCCTTTTTTTACAAAAAGTTTTCAAACATTTCACAGAGCACTAGTTAGCTGCCGGGCAAGGAATCATGTTTGCTTTGCCACCGTATCATCTCTGTTAAAAATATACGACAACTATTCTCCTCACCATGGACAAAGTATCCCTGCTCCTGCCAGATGAGAAAGGCATCACCCAGAGCTGAAAAGATGAGACCAGCCAGAATCTTGCGGGCGCTGGAGTGAGCACCGAGGAAGCTGAATCCGTGAGCCAGCAGAAACACCCACAGGCAGAAGATGGGCAGACATTTGATGAGGGCACTGAACCAGGAAGGGCTCGAGGTGGGCAGCCACAGGACGAAGTAAACACAGGTTGCCTTGAAGAACGGCACCAGTTTGGGGCCTTCGCTCTTCACCTGGAAGGAGATTTAGCATTTAATTATAACAGAAGGTATTCTAGTGGTTAAAACAGTCCTGTGTTTTTGAGTGTGACGTATAGAAATTTAACATTTTTTGTCAATTTTTTTTTTCTTAAAAGTATCATGGGTTGGGTTGAAAGTGCTTAAGTCATGTTTGGTTTTCATATAATTCATACTAGACATGCACATGTCTTGTTGCTTGTCCTAAGAGCTAAAGGGGAAATGCAAACCTAAAGGGGAAATCCAAAAGTCTACAGCCACATGCCATTGACTCTTAGTAACCTTTTCTCTTTTTATTTTTTGCCAGACAAGATTTTCTATCTTCTCCTTTTATCACTAAAGTTCTTAAGAAATATATTCAGTCTCATGTTCCAGTTCCCCAATGCATTATCAGTCAGATTCTTTTTCCGGTTAAAGGAAAAAAAGGCCCAGCAGGATTAAAAAGCGCAGACCATAGAATGTTCTGGGAATTATTCTCAAGCCAGAGCAGCAGACAAACACAAAGTGGAAAAGTCGTGTTGAGAGGAAAAGGAATTAAGTGAGGGTTCATTGAAGCAGAAGTAAGGAGGATAAAAGTGGGGCAAAAAAAAAAACAGATAGGAAAGAAGGGAGAACAGTGCTTGTGAAAAATGAATGACAAGTGGCAGGGCAAAAGATGTTGATTTGTAAAAGGAAAACTGCAAGAGTTCAAATAAAGGTGAAGGAAAAGAAAGACAAAAGAAGGACCGGGAAGCTTAAAGGTCTTTCGGGGTAGGAGTACAATATGTGAGGAAGGTTTATCGGTTTTTAAATGGCAGCTGGGGGAAATAGGAGGTGAAGACGGGAACAGAAGGTGAGAGAGAATGAGGGGTTACTGTCGGTCATACAGCCCACTCTCCCGGAGGAAAGAGAAGACATAGATTGCACAACACCTCAAATACAAGAGTGAACTAAATTACACTACAGGATAGGGTACAATGTATGAGATCGCCCTGGTGTGTCAGATATATCCAGCAGCCAGCAGGAAAACAACAGGGAGCAGACACGCACTGCAACATGTCCACAAACATGCTAGAGCAAAATTAGAGAAACCAGCATAAAGCTGACACTTTAATTAAGAAGAAAAACAAGGAAGAATACATGTTATATATAAATTTATACAAAAAAAATCCACAATCTATTTAGAGTTTTAGTTCAAAACTAACTTATTACTTCAGCTTCTTTGTAGCAAAAGAAGGACAAGGAAGCTTAAAGGTTCCACGGGCACCAGCCTTTCTATATGTTTAACCTCAGGTGGTAAAATATGCTGCTACACCAGCCAGGTCTGCAACCTGTGGCTCCTACAAATAAATTATACAGTCATGTCAATATGGAACAAACACTCAAAGGGAGATTGGTGATAGCTAATTAAATCCATGCCATGAAGAATCAGGGCAGTTCCGAAGACAAAAACAGTAAGGTGTACCTAATAAAGTGGCAACAGGCTTTTTATCTCTCTGGACTATGAAGGGTGAATGATCATATCTAGGATTTCTTGTTCTTATTTTAAATAAGTACAATTCTCTGCTGAAACCAGTTATTTAATTATGCTGAAATGCACATTAAATAGTTTTTATTATGAACAATGATATTTGAAGAATTGTCAATCTAGATTAAATATCTATCTTTTTTAATTTGTTTTTTTGTTGTTGTTTTTTTTTTTTACTTCAAATTTACAGAATCAGTCAAGTTGCAATGTTGCAGACAGAAGAACCCTGGAACTTCACTTGTGTATATATTTGATATATTTTTTTTCAGATTCCTGGAAAAGCAGTGATATCTGCTTTCCCAGCTATCACTGCAGACATTTAGCAATAGTCACAGGAGCTAAGTCACATCTCAGCGTTATAAACTTTGCCGTACTGCGCGTGAGAGTCCATGTTGTGGCTACCGAGGCCAAAAGGGGGCCGAACGGAAACATAAACAGAGCCAGTAGTACCAGACTAGCCAACATCACCGCCATGTTTATCATGTGTCTGCACAGCAAAACCACAACATTTTCATGTTGCACTGTTTTGTTTGTTTGTTTGTTCTGCTTGAGATAAAATACGAATGTATGTGTTTGGTGTTAAAAGGGTGAAAATATAGTTAAGAGAGGTTAAGATATTTAAGAAAAAAAAAATATAAAAACTTCAAAAACATTGCTTTTTTTTATTTTTACTTTTTAAGAGAAAATGAATGGTAATTTGGATTTAACTGTAATATTAAGTGATGAATGTGAATATCTGAGGTAAACTGAAAAATTACTGCTTGCTAAAAATACAAGCAGTATTTTATATATTTATATTATTTCTCTCGGGACTGATCTCGCTTTTCTGTTCAGAGATTTCGCTTAATACTGTTGATATTTTTGATACCGTCTCAACGTGTATAACTTAAAGTTCATTGAGACACAAAGTTTGTCTATCTATAGTTTTGCTTTCCATGAGACGTGTGTTTGTCTGTGCGAACCCTGCAGACGGAGAGGTGTTAGTGACAACAGTTAGTCCTGTGAGACGGCCGGCTGTCATCTGCCTTAATTTAGAGGCGAGCAAAATGTATATTTTTACTACTGTGCAGACGTTTGATTAATGACGCGACAAAATAAAGTTTGTTACTGTAGAAAGGCTGCTTTGACACATACAGCTCCATCCACATTATTAGAACCAGTGGAAAATATGTTTTAAACAAAAAAAAAAAAAATCTTAAAATAATTTAAATCAAAGTTTAGTGCGATTCATTTAAAACCACTAAAAATGCATCTGTTACATTTATTTAACAGGAATTTTAAGACGTGCAGCACTGATGCGCCTATTAAGATGCACATGCATAGTGATTGTGTTAAAAGTTATGTATTTTTACATGACGAGATTATATTAACTGCAAGAAAAGCTTAATTTATTTTAAAGCCTGTTATATGTAATTACCAGGGATGTCAATCAATTTTAATCTGCATGGCAAACGCCCGTCTCCCTGTTGACTGTTGAACCATAACACTGTTAATGATTGGCTTGACAGTTACAAGAAAGTCATGGGATATTTTTGGTGGAGTGATCAATCAGATGGAACGTCCGCGCAAAGTAAAAATATCCAATAACTGAGATCCATATTCTCTTTTTTCTTGATATATCTTCCAGACATGTGCAGGTTGTATTTCTAAGGCTACATGAAGCAACAAAGATGCAGGTTACAGGTTAAGAAAAAAAACAACAAAAAAACAAACACTACACAGAAAACTTAAGCACACTAATGAAAGTTGTTGACAAACTGTTATGTCCATGAGTAACTTCTCTGAGGTTGTGATGTAGCCTGGAAGATTTAATCCAGGAAGAAACAAGCAGCTACCATAGAAGCCAACACAAACTAGACGCTCTGAAGTGCCAAATGAGATCCATCCAGGATGGCATCTACCCAACCACTGTGGGTGTGTAACATGATACACAGAAATATTTAAAGACACTCAGACACTCAATCTGGAAGAGGGCAAGTGTAATACAAGTAAGAACCTAGCAGGCACAGCTGGCATTTTAATCATACGACAATGCTCATTTTCAGAAAGACCATTTTAATGTAACAAGCACTTATTACTTTTATGTTAAAGGTGTCTAGAAAATCACCTAATTAGATCAAACGGATAACGATGGTCCTACAAAAAAAAAAAAAAAAAAAAAAAAAAAATTCTTGGTGACAGAGGTGGAAATATTTTTGTGAAACTGGGTTTGATTTGATGCAGTCTGCAGAAGGACAAAAACTTGATGACTTCCCTTAAGAGCACACAACAGTTGGTTTGGCAGATGGTGCCGAGCATGGCAGTGTTTATCAAAACCTAGTTTAGAGACAGAAATAAAAACAAGGGCAAACATGTAGGCTCTTTTGCACACAGATGATACAAATGATGGCATTTATGTGGCAATAAACACCTTCATATGTTTCATTTGACTTTGATACTTTTCTTTTTTAAGAGCTTAACAGATGAAAGTTTTGCAAAAGTTCCCCTTGGAGTTTTTCCCCAATTTGCTGCAACCACAAACTTGAATGTATATACTGTTAGGGTTTTATGTGATTTAGATCAAATAAAGCAATATATATGTATGAAGTTGCCCTGCGACAGACTGGCGACCTGTCCAGGGTGACCCCCGCCTCTCGCCCGGAACGTTAGCTGGAGATAGGCACCAGCAACCCTCCCGACCCCACTAAGGGACAAGAGTGTAAAGAAAATGGATGGATATGTATGAAATAAGAGAAAGATAACTCGGAGGATTTTTTTTTGGCAGAGTCTATATTTCTTAGAAATAAAAATATAGACTCTGACATGTCTAAATAAAAACTATAACACATAATGGCCCACGGAGGTGAGTTAGCACATAATCCTGTTGTATTTGTGAAAACCTCGGATGTCTTTAGGAGAACACTGAGTGAAGAAATGATCATGAAGACAAAGGAACACAACGTAACATAAATTTGTGGAGACGTTTAAAGGTAACCTGAAGGCATTGTGGTCAAAGGGGACAAGATTTAAATTTTAAAAAAGAAATATCAGTAGGGGTAGGAAATGTTAGACTTGAGAAAATGGATGGAGCAACAGTACAGTGTAATCCTAAAAGAAAACCTGGCTTAAGCTGCATATGACTTGGGACTATGGCGGAAATTCACCGTACAACACAATGACTATAAATATACAACTGAAACAGGATGGTTTACATCAAAGCTTATTATGTTAGAATAGTGCATTCCCAGGCCTGACCTTCATCCAGTGCGAAGATTTGAAAATGATTTTCAGAGGCACTCTTGAACAGTTCTGGGAAAATCCGTCTCTAGATGTTCGATGCTTCCCCAGAGTACTGAATGCCAGGCATTTAGTATTTTCTTTTCTTTTCTTTTTTTTTGTAAACAAGAAAACAACAAAAACAATTTATCATTATCCTTCCACATCAAAATGATACACTACTTAGAGTATTTGAAATTAATACAAGGTTAAAAGGATAAAAAAAATAGTACTCTTAAGTCATGTAAAGTTTTTACTAGTAGTTGCAAAGTCCTCAAATTTTACATAATGTTTCCCTTTAAAAGCTGGAGGACTGCACAGTTTCAAAGGGTTTTCATGGAACTGCAGTTCCTAGTTTTCATGGGGAAAACTGCCGACCTGCACAGCATCCGTATCACTCAGGCAACTAGTGTGTATGGCAGACATTCCTCAACACAGGCTCCCCTCACACATCGGGGTTTACCACAGGCCAAGACACCCCACACCATTCTTCAAGGCCCCTCCACACGGGGTGACATTTCATAGAGGCTCTTTCAAAGTAAGGAGAGGCTGGGTTCGCGTAAGTTATTCATGAGCGTCTCGTTGTTGTTTATTTGTCAAAAATAAAACGATTTCCCGGGTTATGTCGCCACGGAGGAGTCGACGTTTAGCTGTGCTAAAGCAAAGGGGATGGAAGGAAAGCCATATGCGGGCTCTGCTTGGCGCATGCGTTTACTGAGGGATACTGGAAAGAAAATAAGGCAAAGAAAGGCTCGACTGAGTCACATAATGAAGGCCTTTTTTTTTTTCTTTTTTTTTTTTTTTTAGTCGGAGGTACATTCTGAAATATGAGCAATCGTCTCAAAACTGACAGAGCCGCTGTAGCGCCAAATGACAAATGAAAGAGATGCGATGAAAAAACAAAGTTTCCGCATTGTGTTCCTGGAACACATGCAGGAACTACATTTCTATTATTATTATTAGCGATTAAATAATCATCCAGAAAACATGCGCTGACTTCCCCCAAACTACAACGTGCGCTGAATGTGCCTGAAACAGAGTATGTTACACTGTGGAAAATAAACTGACGCCGCTTTTCTTATCGGTACGTGACTGTTTAAAACGCCGGTTTTGACGCTGATACTCACCACCGTTACCGGAGACACCATTTCTCCCCTGAAGCTGGCGTGTCGATTGAAAGACAAAAACAGTTTAAATATATCTAAACCGCTTTTTAATTCGCTTGGATCTCCTTGTTTGCGCAGCACTGTCAGAGGGATGCCGATTGTTTTTGTCCTCGATCCTGTGGGCGGTCCAACGTCCCGGAAGGAGGGAACAGAAGCACGTTAACGTGGGCAGGCCTACCAATTTGACCAATAGGAGCAGAGAGTGGTGGTAAAATGGGCGGGCCCAGTCGTTAGAGACGTCCTGATAGGAGGAGTCAGAGCGGTGTTTACATATTGAAGCAGATGGCCTTTATTTACATTTTCAGAAATGGAGCTTTTCGGCATCAGGGGCTGAGCTTATAGTCGATTTTGTAACACAATCCTTAGCTATGCTGGGCTAAATCGGATTAATGGACAAACCCGTAAATTACTTAGAAAATCTATCTATCTATCTATCTATCTATCTATCTATCTATCTATCTATCTATCTATCTATCTATCTATAATGACAATGCCACTAATCACTTAGAGTATGTTTCTAACGGCTTTGCTCAACAACAAGCATTAATTTTTGCTTCTTCCTTTATTTTTTTTACATAAACTTAAGATCAGTCATATTTGAAGTCACCATTTTGCATCTCGTCACAGATTTTCATTGGGATTTAGGTCTGGACTTTAACAAGGCAATTTTTAACATGAATATGGTTTCACCTAGAGATAATTACACTATTGCTCCAGCTGTGTGTTTAGGGTTATTTTCCTGCTGAAACGTGAACCTTCTACCCATGTTCAGGTCAAAGCCATGACACACTATCATAGTGCCATCCCTATGTTTCACAGAGAGGATGTTATCCATTACACGTAGACCAGAAAGTATTTTTTTGTTGTTGTTGTTTTGTTTTATGTACATGAACCACCTTCTTCCACAATGCTTTCCCTCATGACTTATGGCGTGATAAAAGCTCCATTTTGAATGGGATTCTTTCAATAGTTTAACATTGTTGTTAATCTGCCACAAAGGCCAGATTTATGTACTGCATTACTAATAATCTCTCAACAGGTCCTTCCACACAAGTTGTGGATCTCTGCAGCTCCTCCAGAGTTAACATGTACCTCTTGACTGCGTCTCTGGCTTATGCTCTTCCTCAGCCTGTCACTCATAATAAGGCTGCACCCAGAACTAACTTCTGTATGTATTTCATTATGCATGTTTAACAAAAAAATATAACCGAAGGAGGCACAGATCCTGTTCTTCCAAACATTTTCTTCCTCAACATTTGGTTTCGGCACAAAATTGCAAACATATTCAAGAAGACTGATTAGAAACAACTCCATTTCAGGTCAGTATCTGTCTCCTGAACCATTACCCCATCATACCCCTGCAGTTGACCGTAAGTGACCCCCCCACCACCACACAGCTTTAAACTTTCCCACAGCTAAATCCATGACCTGTCTGTTGTTCCCTCTGTCTTCATGATCCTGTTTGCATACTAAAGTTCTCTAACTAACTTAAGAAATATTTACAGAACAACTGTATTTAGACCAAGAAAAAAGGATGTGAGTGGAGGGGGTGCCAGGCTTATTTTATGGCATCCTGACAGTGATATTATTATTATTATTATTATTATTATTATTATTATTATTATTATTATTATTATTATTATTATTATTAATAATAATAAATATACGCCTTACTTCCCTTGTCTTTTGCAAAGTCACAAAGTGTTCCACAAAAAGATTAATGGAGAAAAGATTATCAGCAAAGAGACTGTATCTGACTTCCGGGGTCAGAGGTGAAGATAAAATGGGCCCTGTAATGGAACTAAATCCAATCTCCCTTTGCCTCAAACTGTTACCTAAATACCAACAGGAAGCTATCTGTGAATCTTTCATGTTAGGAGAAGTTGATAAGTCTGAAATTTATTTAGGAGTAAGGCTGTTGCTGAACTGAAACAAGTGAAGACCACAGCGAATTAACTTTGTGTTACCAGTTACAAAAGCAAAGCTTAAGTGTGCGCATAAATGTAAGTGTTTTTAGTCAATGCCTTGAGCTGCTTACAGGTTTATAAACAGATTAATCTGAAATGTGATTATTGGAAGAATAAAGAAGCAAAACTCATTTCAGATCCACAAATCAGCTTTTTATTTATTTATTTATTCCCTCTATCTTTGATTTATTTATCATTTATTTTTGACAGACAGTCCTGGGCTTGGCATCCATTGACATAGAAATGGAAACAATTTGATAAAGTTAAGCCATATAAGGAGATTAAAGAGAGAAAAGGTATTTGGAAGTTAAAACCTCAAAGGTATTACACTTTGCCCTGCAGAGAAGAGAGAAATTGCATCTTTTCCATCAGAAAACAGGTTTTATGGCAAACTCTGCCCCCTGAAGTCAGATACACATTACTGCTCAGAAACCTTCAGCAACAAAAGACAAATAAAAATAATTTGACCTTTCTTTTTTCTTCACATTTTGTACATTATAAGTTACAAAAAAATAATAATAAAAGGCCACACATTTTAATGTACTTTAATGTAATTGTGTGTAATAAAAATGTAGAAATGTAAACTACTTAAAACTTTAAACTGATTTATAAATACTGTTACATATATTCTATTGCAGTTTCCCTCACAAGAGTATTGATGCTCCGTGAACTTTTCTTTTTGTTGATTTACAATCACAAACTTCAGTCCAAACACACAAATACAGTGTATTGCCTAAATAATAGGCAATGTGCTGTTGGGTACATTCTAGTAAAGTTTTTCCAAAATAAAGCGGTTTGTGAAAGTATTCATATTCTTTGAATATTTTCTAATTTGCCACTTTACAATTACAAATGCCAATCTATTTTAATGGGATTTTCTGTCATAAATCAACTCAAAATAATGTAGCACATAGCGAAAAATAAACTTGGTTTTATTTATTTTTACAAATAAAAATTGAATGAACATGTGAAATTTATTTGTATTTACCCCCCTTGAATGTGGGGGCTAAATACCCCACATCAGCATTTAAATGACTAATGCTGATTATTTGAAGTATTTTTTTTTATTTGCAATTTTGTTTACGCTGTAATATATTATTTGTAAATTATTTATTATAAACGCTTAAAAGAATTAAAAACATATTCCAAATTACATCTAACAAAAAATATTTTGCAAAAATACATTGCCCTACAGAACTATTATCCTTCTCTTCTATCTTTTTGTCATTTTACAACCACAAGATTCCTTCTATTTTATCAGCATTTTGACATAAAAATACAACACAATTTTAAGTATTTCTGGTTTGTAATGTTATAAAACTTGTAATATTCCATAATTTAAATACAATGTTTAAAATGTTAAAAAATCAGAAACAAATGGGTAATGTGGAGGAGAAGAAAGAATATAAACTGCTTACTTAAAAATCGATTTTATACACTCCAGAAATACTCTTAGATATCGTTTAGGAAAAACTACATTCCGCTGCGTTTTGGTATAGGAGTGACTTCTTAACTGCTATATAAATGTAGAGATTAGTGGAGAGTAAATAATTTTATGTTCTTTCATAAGGCTACACAAGTTACAACTGGTAGACGAAGTAAAAGGTTTATCCATGCAATGAAATTTCCAGAGCTTTCGAGATGGTCCAAGAAGTGGCGACATCAAGTGGTTCTTTACTGTAAAAAAAATGTTTTCGGAAGGATATTACGTATGAGACCGTATGACGAATAGGAGAAGTTTTGTCAAACGTAAAATACGGAGGGAGCACTTCAAATGGATTGGATTCACTTTGAAGCCGTACGCAACAGCACTACCGACATTACTATACTATATATACCATCAACAAACTAAATTAAAAATAAATTCCACAGCTTTTCGTTTAATTAAAAAAAAATCCTCGTTTTGTACCTATTATTCATCCAAGAACGGTCGATTATAGTACATGTGCACACTTACAGTCAAGATAGATCCCCCCCCCTACTTCCGTCCGTTGGTTTACATCGAGACGATATGATTCTACACACACTCTCTGATCATAAGCAAAAGCGGAAGTATGTTGAGTGAACTATGTCACTTCCGCACATTCCGCTTTGGCCGTTTAATTTTGTCGTTCTTACTCACTGTTTGGCTTTAAATCGTCTCAGAATTAAAAATTATACATTTTTTTTATCTATGTGGTTTTAGTGTAATTTGGTCAGACACGTATTTTGATGGATGTCGCGTTTTTTTCGTTCGTACAAAGAGGAAGTTGGTCCTCCTGGAATCTCAGTTAGCTGACGTTAACAGCTGTGGAGCCCCGGTTAGCTAAATGCGCTAGCGTATGCTATCTTAAAAAGTGATTAAGTAAATGTAGTCTGCACCGTTAAGATAAGGGTTTGGGTCCCCGTATCGTTGGTTCAACAACGTACGGTCTTCTTTGTGTAGCTGTCAAGATAAACGTGGTTTGATAGTGTGAGTGTCTAAATCCTAAACGTGAACCACGATTCTGGTTTCTGTGGGTTGCTTGATTCGCTTCAGGCTGACGTATGTCATCATCTACTGCCAACATGATGGACTTTGATAATATATTGGACATCGCTTCGCAAAACCAGGGTCTCAGCAGTGTACAAGTAAGTTAAAGATGATGATTACTTGTACCCATGTTCGTAAGTGGGAATCATTGTTACAATTCAGTGCGTTCCATCCGTGTCAGTGAAGGTTCTATAGTACAGCTGGTTGCTAAACTTACAATAGCATGACCCTGCATGGCTTCTGCCTCAAATACGTTATTCCATTTGGTTATATATATACCTCGTTAGTTTTCTGGTTTTAAAAACACATCGAAAACTTTGAAATTAGTTTATTTAAAAATAGCATATTTACTTTAACAATTCAATGAAGTTTTATGTTCAGCAGCTGATCTTATGTCTCATCCTTGTCTTTCTTTGTGCAGAAGAGATACAGTCTTCAAGCGGGACCACCCAAAAAGGACCCAAAGTCTAAAGGTGTAAACCCTGCTGCTGTGCAGGCACTTCTAAAAAAGCGGCAAAATGACACAAAACGGAAAGGTATCTATGACATTAAGTCAGTTTACACAGTAATACTCAAATTAGAGGTGTACAGCTCTTTCTGCTGGAGATTGAATTGTGCCAGTTTTCTCTAGTTTTGCCTCTGATCGGTAGGTCATATTCCAAACTTTCACAATTTTGCTATTTAGTACATGTGTTGATGTAGTTTTGACTTTGATAAAGATCTGATCAATTTTAGCATGGTTGCATTTGAAGGTAAACTTTTTATTTTCCTATTTTCTGTTGGATTCGAGGCTACCATCGCTAACAAAGAAACTGGAACAGATTTCTTACTTGATTTCTAACTCAGTCTTTCAGATTAAAAGGCCAGACCTCTAAAATTGGATATTTGTCTCAGTCAGGAAAAGCCCTATTGGTACAATTTTGACTGAAATATGTACGGATACAATCTATTTTCTTCTTCTTCTTTTCAGAATTGGAAAGTAAGAAACAAAAAGAGCAGCTATTGGCGAAGAGGGTTGAGTTGAAGTCGGATCGTAAAGCACGAGCTATGGCATCCAGAACCAAGGACAATTTCAAAGGCTACAACGGCATTCCATTGGTAGAGACTCCGAAAAGGAGGGGCTCCAAAGGAGATAAGCGGGAAGATCATCCAGATGACCCTGAAAGATTTAGGAATAACGCAATCGACACACTAGACGATGAAGATAATTACGAGTATGAGCAGACCGATTCAGAGGGAGAGCCGGAACCAGAGATGATGAGGCCACAGAAGACTATGAGTGTCAGTGGGCCAAGTAAATCAGTTTCTAAAAAAATTTCTGGCCCACCCAAACCTCCTCCCCCTGCCATGAACTTTGCTGATTTACTCAGATTGGCGGAAAAGAAGCAATTTGAGCCGGTTGAGCTAAAACCCAAGGTGAAAAAGGAAGAAAGGCTTCGCACAGCCGAAGAGATACGTGAACTGGAGATGGAGCGCAAGGCTAAGAGACCTGACAAAAGCAGGGACTCAAAGGTAGACGGTGGAAGAGAGGGACGGTCTTTGTCCACTTCTAGTTCAGTTAGAAAAAGCACTACAGAGAAAGAACCAAAACACAACAAACCGCAAAGGAACTCTACAGAAAAGCCAAGTCTGCCCGGTAGATCAGGAAATAAGGTTCAATCAGCTGGAACAAGTGACAGAGGTCTCTCCTTTTCCAAACCCTCTGTAAGTGACAAAGAGAGGAACCGAGAGAAGACGCCTCACAGTGATAGAGAACGATCCAAGATGGGCATCTCTGCTTCATCAGTTGCTACAGTTAGTAAAAACCCTTCAAAAGCCCACTCATCTCAGGTCTCAGCCAAACATGTAAGCTCCAGGATGGCACTTACCCAAAAACCCAGCACCTCAAGTGACCTTAGCTCAAGAAAAGACAGTTTGTCATTGCATCAAAAAGGAGCTTCATGTATTCAAGGGAACAGGCATTCTAGTGGAGTTGGAGCTGGCCAGAGGTCTCAACATGCAACCTCACAGCAGACGAGACCCATTCAAGGCAGTTCATTAAAGCAGGGATCTATAGCTGGAGAGATGAAATCCAACAGAGGAGACCCACAAAGGTCTGGAAATAATCCTCTGGTGAGGTCAAACGGTAATTCACTGAGGCCGTCTTTGGGCGGTCCTTCTAAGGCAGGGAACCAGTGTCAGGGGAGGCCTATGGGCATACCACAAAATAAACCTGGTGGTGCACCACAGAGTAGGCCAGGTCACAGTGGACCTGAAAGAGGTGGATCCCGACCTCCAGGACCTTTTAGACCTGGTAGTGGAGGACAGGTATCAGGGCGGCCAAACAGTAACCTCGGGTCAGGGCCGGGCAGACCTAAGTGCACTGTCGTGTCGGAGACCATCTCGTCCAAGAATGTGGGTGGACCTAGGCCAGGGGTCTCCCCTCGGCCAGGCATGCAACAGAGACCTGGGGTGATGCCAGGGATGAGACCCGGGATGATGCCAGGGATGAGACCCGGGATGATGCCAGGGATGAGACCCGGGATGATGCCAGGGATGAGACCCGGGATGAGACCCGGGATGATGCCGGGAATCAGACCTGGGATGATGCCGGGAATCAGACCTGGGATTCCACCCAGACCTATGATGAACAGACCACCAGGTGAAAACCAGGAAATGCATGATGTTATTAGTGAAGACTTGTATATGGTTTATTCAAATTTTAAAAGCTTTAATGAAAATGCAAAATCATTACTGGTAAATGTATTACCTGAAGCTGGTTAAAGTTTGGTCTTGTTCTTGCTAAGGGACCTTTGCTTTCTGCAGTCCATAAATACGAACTTACCAATTTCTCATTTTTTTAAAATCACTGTTTTCTAAATTGTCTTTAAATTTACGAAATTTGCCTTTAATATCCAATTAGTCTTTAAATACGCAAATGATTACTGGGATTTAACCAGACTGTGATAAGTGTGTTGTTAACACATCTGCCAAGATGTTTAAAACGTTTCAATGTCAGCAGTCTTTGAATAGTTTAATCTTTTCTTTTGACCATCAAAATAATCAAATCACATCTCAAGTCTCTAAGAACAAGATCTGTTGCCAACAATTTAAGTATTTCCTTTCCAGGAACCATGCTACCACCCATCACAATTGCATACAAGAGGAAGTATGAGGATGAGGAGGAAGAGTATGACCCTGAAATGGACGACTTCATTGATGATGGAGGTGAAGAACAAGACGAAATCTCCAGGCACATTAAGGAGATCTTTGGCTATGACCGAAACAGGTGAGTGTTCTCTTCATGGTGTCTGGTGTTAATGGGGTATTGTGACAAATGAGTTTGCACTTGGTATTCACTCACATACAGTAAGGATTTAGATCTCTGAAGAAAGTCCAGTCACAGTAATACAAATAACCTGCTGTTACATGGCCACCGCCCTTGGAGCTTGTTATTCTACCTTCTGCACTGGTTTCGGACAAGGTAGTATTGTGGTATGAGAGTCCAGAAAGATATGAGTATTGTTTGTTTCTCACTCGAGGGGGCATCGTAATTAATGTGACTATAATTGAAAAGTGAATGACAGTACTTCAGGCCAAACAGTGAATCTCACAGATTCATTAAACACAATATTTCACACTTTGAATTCTTGGTTTTGATAAATATGACTTGTACTTAATCTGAAAATGTCACTATTTCATTGGACTAATTAAAAAGTAGTTGCTAGAAAAACTGGTAGTGGCTCACTCACTCACACTGATACGCACCCTTCTATGGACTGGCAGAAAAATAGCTCATTAAAATATTGAGCAGATGTGGAAGATCTGCCTGAAAACAAAAAGAAAATCACGGAGCATCTTTTTTTACAGTTGATATTTTTTTTATATTTTTTTTTATTTACACAATTTTCCATCTACAAATACATATTCAATATAGATTTATTTTCTATGTTAAAGCAATTGATTTGTCAAAATATCAATTTACTGCTACTTTGTCGGGGTTTTTTCTCTCAGGTACAAAGATGAAAGTGACTATGCTCTTAAGTTTATGGAGAGCAGCTGGAAAGACCTGCAGAAAGAAGAAGCCAGGAGGTATCAAAATAGACATTTTTGTCATTTTTCTCTCCTGATTAAAAGTAATTGTCACCGGTAACATAAATTTTCATACTCTTACCTTTTGCCTTACTTTAGTCTAAGAATGGCTGTGCAAGAGGACCTGGAGGAAGAGCGGCGAGAGGAAGAAGAGCTGAGAAGAAAAAAGACCAAGAGGAAAAAAATCAACTGAAACTCCATTCCTGTTTTGATAAATAATCCTTTGTCCTCTGAATGCTGGCACGGTGGCTTGGCGATCCTACAGCATCAAGCCCACATTTGACCGTGTGTTGTGATGGAGAAAGTCATTTGTTGTGAAAGATTATCTATCAAAAGATGATATGCAAAACCCATTGGAAGCATTTAGAAAGTAATGAGAATTTCTCAAGTCCATATTTATTTGCTCTACAAAGTTCTGGATTTACAATCTGGGAAGAATTGAACTTTTAAACATGAATCTGTTTTTCTCATCTCAGCAATAACAGGGACAGTTCTCAACATATTTTCTGTTACTTTTTTCAGCTAATTATTTGAACATATTGTTAGTTATTGTGCAGAAAACATTACCAATTCATATGTTGTGTAAAATATTTTGACAGTAATAATTGCATAAAGGCTTTTATTTAACAGTACTGTATGATGTCATTTTTTTCTCGGATTAAGATTATTTTGGTAAATTTATATATGGAGAGGTTTGGTCCCATTTTTCTTTGCTTAAAACTAGTGGTTTTGTCTGTCTTAAAATGAGTATAATATTTTACTAATTATGTGCTGCTTTTTAAGATAGTCCTTGCTGTGTAGTGGATACAATTTTATTGCTGATCAAATTCTTTCAAAAAAGTTTTTCAGCTCCCTAGAATATTATCGGTTCTACCCACAATGAACATCTTGCACAATCCAATGACTTCTCCAAGGACAAACTACTTTAAAACATTAGATATCATTATGTGCAGCTTTCTTAACTGGATCCAGTAGACAGGTGAAGAGGCATTTTTATCAAGAAACACTCAAATTTTAACTACATTTAGTCTAATAATTGTAAATGCCTAAAATATGAAGGAAAACTTTCATAAAAATCTTTAAGATCAAAGTATAAAGCATTCTTTTGAGAGGTTTCAAAATGGCTGGCTAAGTTAGTACTATGAAGATGAAAGGATACTAGATGAAAAACCATTGGTCTGAGCTTCAATAATGTTTATAATGTGAAATGTGGACTGGTATAGTTCAGTGTAAAATTGTCTGACAATTTAATCGTTAAATGACAAATATCCAATTTTACCATAAAGTATGAAAATAAAGGCATTTCCTTTTAGGGTTTTCATTTTTACCTAAATGTCATTAATTAAAATCCTAGCTATTAAAATTTAGCTATTAGGATTGGTGTTTTCTATTCTTAATTGTAATGCTACTTACGTATAGTAGGGATGTTTTTATGACTATGACTGCTTATTTTGACTCCTGGTTATATATGACAATGCCTTGCCATATTTTTGGTGTAGGGGATTTTTCAAAGAGGGCGGGGCTTAAGTCGGTAGTGACATCAGTGTCACCTAGCTACGCCTTTGGCTGCTCCTCCAAGTTTGCGGAAGTTTATCAATAGAGCTGGAATTATACAACTGGCAGGAGCATCAAACCTAAAGAATAACTAGTATATTCATATTTCTTTTGGCTAATTTCCGGGTGAACTAGATGGACCTCAAGTCAGAGAAAATACAGCGGATCCTATCAAAGGTTAGTTTGAACAAATGACAACTTTGAAATGTGTTCAGTCTAAACTTTAATTTGTAAAAGCCGGCTAGCTTTGTAGGCTAGTTTCTATTAGCTTCTGTCAGCCTGAGCAAACTGGAAGAACCAGCTTAGTTACTTAAATTCTTGAAAGGAACTTAAATAAGATTACAAAGTGAGAGTGCAATTGTTCTTTTTGAATGAATTTGAAGAATATTAACCCACTGAATTGAGCAACTTAACTAAAACTATTAAAATAAAGTTTATGCTGTTTTTCCTGTCTTACCATTACTGACAATGAGCAAAAAGAAAAATATTAACAGTAAAATGTCTAGAATTTGTGTAGAAAATGATAAATATTTAATTGGCCAATTCTTTCAAGAAACTGACAGTTTCAATAAAAAAAAATCTCTGCTCATTTGTAAAATAACTGAAATTTGTGGCAGAAGTTTTAATAGTGCGTACTCTTTTGAGTTAATTGTACAGATGTGTTAATTATCAGGATTTTAATACCTTAAAGTTTTAACACAAGTTGGAAAATGCTATACAAGATTTTAAAATAATCAAGTGGAGAAATAAAAATAAAAATAAAAACGGCATCATAGTAAAAGTAACACAGGACAATATGCAAGAATAATTATTCATAAGTTTAAAAAAGGGTTATTAAAACGAGTGTAATCCAAAGTTAAAGAAAATACCACATGACTGCAAATCAATGTGGGGGCATCGAATATGGCTCCTCCCAAAAATAATAGATTTTAAAAGATGAAAGTTCATTTGTCAGTCCTTTTTTTTCATTAAGGCTTCCTTATCAATAAAGGTTAGAAAAATATTTTTTCTCCATAACAATCCTTCTCATGTCTGTATCTTCATCCAGATATTTAAATGTCTTGGGTTCATTTTAATCTTTAACATATAATTGATTTTTTTAAAAAAGCTGAATGTACTTAGTTGCCTTTCTCGCTCTAAATCAATTATGACATTGTGCTGATTTGAAATGACTACATTTCAAAAAAACATTTCTTTTTTTTGTCAGCTGTTAAAATCACACTGATGCGACATCAGTTGTGCAACAGAACAGGACATATTACACCATGTCATGATTTATTTAGAGTGACTTGGAAAACGACATCCTTACTGCTGAATGACTTTTGAACGATGAAAGGTCGAGTCATGTATGGGCAATAATGTCTCCTAACCCTGAGTTAAGAATATTGAGTTTGGATGAATTTAGACCTCAGTAAGATACAGATCAGAAACTGAGGATCATTCTTAAAGAGAATCCAGACTTTTATTGTGTAAGTCATAACAAAAAAAAAGAGTTTTGTGCTCACTGAGCACAAAAAAAACACCTTAAAATAAAAAAACTTATCCTTTATAAATCTTATGCATGCTTTTACTAATCGTTTCTTTTTCCCTCTACTAGTACAAATTTGGAGATGTCACAGTTGAGGAACTTCAAAAAATTTATCGCATCTTCCCAGACATGAAGCTGTACACTGGCACGTACAGTAAGTTTTTGTGCTACTTTTGCATTTGTTTGACAAAATACATTCTGGTGAAAATGTATTTACTCCCTAACATATTTCTGCTCATTAAACACATTTTATTATCAGGAATATAGCCTGAGTAAATACAAACAGCAAGCAACGATTTCATTTAATAAGGGAAAACAGATTATCAAATCCAACCATGGCCTATGTAAAAAAGTGATTGACCTC